TAGCTTGCCAACCTTCCATGTCGGTTACCTCACTTGATCCTAAAAAACAACTAAAAGAGGCACATCAGTCAGGGAATTGCATCTTCCTGATTTTACAAATGCAACAACTGAAGCTCAAATCCCAGATAAATTTCACAAGGTTAGAGAGTAAGTAGCCTGCTGAAGACAAGAACTGAATTTCAGTCTTCTGACTCCAGACCTTGGGCTCATTCTACCATCCCTGTGCTGGAATTTCACACTTTGGGGCAGCATTCATCTTGATTTTAAATTATTTGATCATAGCCAAAATCATGACTATTCCAAGAAACACAGCAACCTCAGGAAAGCAAAGGTATAGTTCTTCCAGTCCACTCTTGGGCACATTCCTTCTTTGAAAGAAGAAGAAAAAAAAAAAGTCCTGAAAATGTCATACCTATCCTTTGCCTACAACGCACATTGGAACAATTAGAGTCACCAAAGTCAGTTCCATTAAAACTGTGAACAAATTGGTCAAAGTGGGAAAACAGAGGGATTACTGCATCACCAAACAGAGGGAAGAAAACACAATTTATCCATGAATGGATTCTTAGTTTCATAGTGCAAGAACTTTAAATGTGAGGATAGTAAAAGTGCTGGTTATTCCTAATTTATATTGAAAATGATCTAACCACAGTGCTTAGTTTGTAGAGGCAAATTCTTTCATTCAGTGAACATTTATTTCCTTCTCCTCTCAGCTTTGTGTGGTCATTGTGCTAAGTGTTGTGGCTGGAAAAGAGAGAAAGAAGGAGATGCAGGCTCCAAGTTGCTCACCACCAGGGAACCAGGAACCTGATGTACCATGAACTGTAATGGAGATGCATCCTAGGTTCTAGAGTAACTAAAAGATGAGGAAACAGGCCAATTCACTCAAGAATCATTCTCCAAAAGCTAATTCACTGAAAGCCCGTCTGCCAAATGATCAAAGGAGAGAATGCCCAATTTACAGAATTTGCCTAATTTGCCAGAAACTACTTTTAAGCAATAATTTCTTAACATTTCAATATATACATAGATGCATTCTTTTTGGTACTCACTACATCTGCCATTTTGCTAAGCACTTTACACACTGTCTTATCTTATGGAGTCATTGTGCATAGAAGTAATTTGGCCATGTACAGTTACTGGGTAGACCTGAGATTTAAAACCAAGTTTGTCAGTGTCCAACATCTGCTATCTCAACAGCTTCTCTATACAACCTACCTTATAGTATCTACTGGTTTGGGGGAGCTGGAGATGTAGCTCAGTGGTAGGATGCTTGCCGGCATGTAAGTAGCTCTGGGTTCAACCCACAGCACCACTAAATACATAAATACCTACTGAGTTTTGGTTATGTGCTATACACCATACCAGGGACTCTATGCACATGAGTTATAACACTCATTATTTACAACTCTGTTAGGTTTTACCTAACATTTTTCAGATAAGAAAACAGATTCAGAGAGGAAGTACTATAAGTCATTTCAGGATTCTTACCTGTTTAGGATCCTCCTGTTAACTTCCTTGCCATTCCACTAAAGAATAACACAGTCACAGCAATGTCATACAAAGCCCAACCCAATGCCTCTCTGAGCTCAACTCCCACCTTCCTCACATTATTCAAACTCACTGTTTCTGAACACACCAAGCATGCTCCCATATGTCCTCTGCTCAGGATTTCTCCCTTCATCTCCTTCAGGTCTTGCATGGCCCTTTAATAAGGCCTTTTGGTGGTGTTTAAAATGACATCTTGCCCCATCCCCACCAATCATCTGTCTCCCTCTGCTAAAATGAGATCAGTGGTCTTTCTCTTTTTAGTGTTTTATCTATACAACATTTCTTGCACTTGGAACAAAACACATGCTCCAAATACATTGCTTGAATTAAACTTTTGCTCCAGATTATAGAGAATTGTAAAGTGGATATTGGACACTAAACTAGATATCCTTGAGGCCACACTCTCCATTACATAACATTGCCAACGATGCCTGGGAGAAGGTGCGTGCTGGTGAGCTCAAACTTGGGAACATAGACTTCTTAGGACTCTTGAGGTGATAGGGTGGACACACTTACAACTTTTCTGTAGAGTTTAAAACCACATTTTTATCAGTAAGTGAAAATTGAGAAAGTGAGGCAAGAGGGCCCAAGCCAGGACACAGGATGGGATGGAAACAAAAAGAAGATGTGGGTGAAAGAGCTATAGGAAGAAATGAAATGGACGGAAAAGACATGTGAACAGTAAAATGTCTTGAAAGCCATATATGTGAACATAGATATATCTATATAAATATATATATATATAAGCAAATTATATATAATTTGCTTATAGTTGTTTAAATTTTACTTTATTGCATTAAGAACACTTCATGAGGGGCTGGGGATGTGGCTCAAGCGGTAGCACGCTCGCCTGGCATGCGTGCAGCCCGGGTTCAATCCTCAGCACCACATACAAACAAAGGTGTTGTGTCTGCCGAGAACTAAAAAATAAATATTAAAATTCTTTTTTTTTTTTAAAAAAAGAACACTTCATGAGATCTGCTGTAACAGATTTCTAATTGTACACTACCATTGACTATGTACTATAAATTAATTGCCTTATTCATCTTAATCAAAACTTTATGTCCACTGATTAGTAACTACCCATCATTGCTCTCTCCCACAAGCCCCTGGAAGCCAACATTTCACTCTTGAATTTTATAAATCTATTTTAGATACAAAATACAAAATAGATATAAATCTATTTTAGTAAGTGGAATCATGCAATATTTATCTCTGGCTTTTTTCACTTAACCATAATATCTTCAAGATTCATTCGTGTTATATTACAGAACTTTTTTTTAAGGGCTGAATAGTATTCCACTTTATGTATATACTACCTTTACTTTATTGATTCACCTATCAATAAACACTTTGCTTTCACTGGTTATTTCCATGTTGGTTACTGTGAATGGTGCTGTGATAAATTGGCAGTCCTTCTCTACTTGGGATACTGATTTCAACTGTTTTGGTGTAACATCCAGAAGTGGGATTGCTGGGCGATATGATATTCTGTTAATTTTTTGAGGAATCTCCCCACTTTTCTCATAGCTGCTGTACCACTTTGCATTTCCACCAACAGCATATATTCAGATATTTAATATACTCTTACCACTAACAAAACTCTAGCAGGAGTTTGACTACTGTTTGAGTCAGCCTTTTTTGCTGCTGTAACCAAAAGAGCTGAAAAGAACAATTAGAAGAGGGAAAGTTTATTTGGGGGCTCATGGTTTCAGAGATCTCAGTCCAGAGATGGCCAACTCCATTGCTCTGAGTCACCGGTGAGGAATAACATCATGGCCAAAGTGTGTGGCAGATGATAGCAACTGGGAACAAGGCATCCAGGAAGCAGAGTGTGAGTTCCTCCACTCTACAAGGAGAAAATATACCCAAAGTCATGCCCCCAGGGACCCACCTCCTCCAGCCACATCCTACCTGCCTTAATTATCATTCAGTTAATCCCTATCAGGGATTAATGCACTGATTAGTTAAAAACTACCCAATCATTTCCATTCTAAGCTTTTTTGCATTCACACTTGGAACTTTTGGGGGACAACTCATATCTAAACCATAGCTAACATTTATTTATTGCTTAGTGTGGTCCTTTACACAGAATTTAATCACTACAAAAATTTGGTAGACCTCATATGTGGCTTCCATTTCAGTTTTTATGCAGATACAAGTGAGTCCAGCAGAAGACTCATCCTTGATTCTTAAATATTCTACCACTACAGATATCAGAAAAAGGTCTTGCACTATGGGAAACTGGGTATATTCCCAGATATTTCCTTTCTAAAATAAGCTGGTTTTCTGTTTGGTATTGAATTTACAATTCTACTCTCCCTTTCAAAGACGTGCACTTCTCCATGTGTTCATATGATGTGTATAAAGTCACTACTGCTGGATTCTTAGCAAGATGAAAGGTTTCCAGGGCAAAATTTAAATTGTGGTACCCATAAATTGCAGTTTGCTTTCTCTTTGGTTCTCCAACCTCTTTTTAAAAGCTATATACATTCAAGATGTGCAACATGCTCTTTTCATATACATAACAAAGTGATTAATTACTATTCCATCACTTTCTATGGCTACCTGAGTTGTGGTAAGAGAATACCCATTTAGAAATTCACGTATATATAAACTATAGTCCTTGCACTACACCATCAGATCTCTAGGTTTATTCATTGGATGTCTAGACTTATCGGTTTCCCTCTGATCTGATCAATCAACTGATGCATTTTAATTTGAATTATTCTTCTTGAAGTAATTCATCACCTAGTGAAAGGATTATAACACAAAACCACAGGTTGATACAGTAATCACATTTTTTAGCAAACCATCAACATTAGATATTTCTGGCCTGATTCAAGAAATATCTTCACTTTAATTTCAAGCAGTAGTCCTCCACTATTGGATTAAAAATGCTTCCAAAATAAGCCTAGCTTTGTATCCATACATTACAGGAGTCTGAGTACAGTCACATACCACATGCTTCTTTCAAGCAGACTACGTGTATTACCATTGTCTCGTAAGATTCAAATGGAAGTGAAAAACGATCACCTGGTGACATGCTGTAGCTCTTGAAACATCCAGGGCAATACAGTGTGCATTCGTCTGCAGCCAATGCTGGTGTAAACAAATCCACCAATTTGCCAATCATGTAAAATAGCACAATTATGTACAATAACCCTCGATAATGACTAGATTACTGGTTTATGTATTTACTACACTTGTTATTTTAGAATGTATTCCTACTTTAAAAAAATTTATGCTGACAGCAGCTTTGTATCTTGACTGTAATTAAGAGGCACACTGAGTGACTGGCCTATACCACCAAGGTTTGTGGGAGCACACTCTGATGTTCATACAAGGAAATCACCTCCCTAATCACTTCTAAGAATGTATCTGTCTGTATATTGTAACAGAAAATTTGGATTTTATCTACAAAAAAAAGTTTTGAACAATGACAATAGTAAATATTTAAGAGATTTATTAAAGCATCTTATCACAAAGATGGAAACATACAAATTAGAAACATGCAATCATCATCTTCCACGGTCCAGTCAAATGTTATGTATCTTTCCTGTTTTTACAGCTAGCTGAAAACTTCAGATCTTATACCCAATTCATTCATCCTGAATACTGAATTCAATCTTCCTGAAATTATCCAGGGCAGCAAATAACCAAGATACAAACCATTATATAAAGAAAGTGCAAAGTTAAAAAAGAAAATATGTGGAGAATACTCCCTCCCCACCCCCAGTTAAAGGCATACAATGGCACTTTGTTCTTTTTATGCTAGATTGTCTCTGAAAAGTATTAAATTGTAATAGACTTTAACAAAAAACAAAAAGACTTAATGAATGTTCAAAAAGCTTCTTAGTGTTTGAAAATAAATGCTTAGACAAAAGACAATGTATTTTATATCAAACAAGTTTGAAGAGCCCTGTAATGCAGCACTCTGTAAAATAAACAAGACAAGAAGCTGGTATAGGGTTTATTGACAGAGGCAGAGCGTCTTCAGGCAGGTAAGTAAGGAGGCGGTGGTTCCTTCTCGGGCATCTTCACTGCCATTTCGTAGGTTGGCAAAACATACTAAAAAGACAGAAAAAAAACTACATGAAACTTGAAATTCTTTCTGAAATGATTTTCAGCTTTCATACTATCTCCTAATAAAGGTACACAAACCTACAGAGAAGAGCAGAAGAAACTGTTAGCTCAACAATTCCCAGGAATAGAGATGCCTGAAAAACAGGCAACTTTCCACGCAACTGAGATCTGACCTATGTTTGCTAGACATGATGGATTAAGGCTGGAAACAACAAGAATTTTAACTCTAATTCTGACCAACTCTGAGGCAACAAAGATTTCTTGACAGGCAGTAGTTGTCCCTGCTCTCCCCTTGTTCCAATAAAGTATCAGTGCCATTGACACCTCAGGAATTGAGGATTTGGGTGACAGAGCCTCACTGAACCACACTATAGGAAGACTCCAGTAAGAGGCTGGAGTCTGTTTCATCAGAATCTGTAATCAAAGGAGCCTGAACCTCCACCATGTCCTCTAGGGTGCCAGGCATATCCATAGGGAGGTGGCATTCTAACCTTGTGTTGAAAATCTGGAAAGATAGTCTGATAGCAATTAGAGGGCTCCCAGACACAGTCCTCCTCAACAGACTCCAGAACCCACCAGTCATTGCCCCACAGACAGGTTAGCTCCTCCTTGGATCACAGGGCTTGTTTTTTAAACAATGTAAATTTCAGTTAACAGTATTCTAATCCATCCACAGAAACCCCACAGGCTAAACAAGCTTAGCACAGTTGTTTCTATCTTATGCCACCCACAAATACAGCACTCATGGGGACCACTAATGAATAAACTTAACAGAAACTAGACACAATGGGCAGTGTAGGGACTGTCTAGCCTGTGTACCCAGGATTCCAACTGGGAAATGCTAAATCCTATGGAATTTAAGCTATTCATGCCCCAAACCAGAGTCATGGCACAGAAAAGAAAGTTAAAACTTCACGTTCTTTTGGAACCATTAATAATGGCTAGCATTATTTTAACAAAAGAAACAGCAGTTAACCTGTGGAGGTGCTTCAAAGGCAGGGTACACGGCAATCTCTGGCACATTTCTGTTGTTGATATATTTGTAGCAGTTCCAAACACAGTTAATTAGATAAGCCTGAAAAGATAAGAGACAAAATTTACCAGAAACTAAACAGATTACATTTTACGAATACAAACAAAAGCTGGGTGTGGTGACATGGCTTTTAAATGCAGGTGACATCCAACACTGTCCGACCATGTTCTCCATCAGAACCTAGCACCAGACAGGCCCTTTTCAACTCCTGGTTCTCATTTAAATGTCAGAAGTTTCCTAAAGAAACTAGAGTCGGGGTTTCAACTTAGGTCTATTAACCCCTGTGTTGCAAAGGAAATTCTGGGGTTGTGAATGCTGGAAATTGTAACAGATTTCCAATACAAATCATGAACCACTTTCAAAAACAGAAAAATTTCTTCACTTGTGGAATTATCTTGACACTTTCAACCCTTCTCTGGCAACAAGACAGAGGATGCTTCTGGAAGCTAACTCTACTACTTTTAAACATTGTCACCATAAGTCCTCAAGCTACTGTGTCCTCTGAGGAGATAAGGCAATGTAAAGGTTATGATAGGCAGTGTTAAGTCTCACCACCTACAGATTTAGCAACTTACCTTAAAAATGATAAATACCACAAAGAACACAAGAACAATGAATAGCAGGCAGCTGGAGTCCAATGCCAGGAGATCATCTTTGTAGGGAAAATCAGGCTATTAAAAAACAAACATACACAAGCAATTTACAATTCAGTCAGGGCAACTGGACTCTGTAATAATCTAGGGAGCATTTTAAGAAAACAAACAAAAGCTGGGTGTGGTGATGCATGGCTTGGGAGGCTAAGGTGGGAGGATCTCAGTCTCAGCAACCTAGCAAGTCCCTGAGTAATTCAGGATTACTGTCTCTAAATAAAAAATTCAGGATGTGGCTCAGTGCTCAGTGCTGGGTTCAATCCCCAGTACCAAATAAAATAAAATAAAAGGCACCAAAGTCAGAAGTGATAGTCTAATAAAACTTTATAAACAGGCTTCAACTCAGATAATTCAAAGATAAGTCCCATTATCTTTAATTACTTTAAAATACACTTGTTTAAATATCCAGAATATTCCTTAAATAGTCCAAACTAAGCTTATTTTCTCCTAACTTTCTATGAAGTAATATGAAGATGTTGTCTGAGATAAAGAATTAGAGCTGTCACAGAGTCACAATAGGAACTTAGACTGATACTGTATAGTGGGGCAGGTGACACTGGGCTGAAGTGGCTAAGTAGGACTTTCCTGAAAGAGTTTTGAAAGGAGGTGTGGAATCTGTTTTTATAGCTAAAAACTATAAATGCCTATAAAGACAAAACACCATTGTGCTGATATTTGGTAAAATACAACCTCCTATATGGAACCCAGGATTTGTCCCTAGGTCAGTAAATCAGTAGGTACTGAGATATACCTAACTCCATTAGGAAGTTAATCCTAGAGAAAATAACTTTTCTGAAAGTAGTTTGTCTCAACTCTTCATCAGGCAAAAAGAAGGCACTCCACAGGTCAAAGAGCCAGGCACAACTATACAATTTACTGTAGACATACTATGTTCTACTGAGAAGGATCAGCTATATTCATTCAAATACTCAACCTTGGCTGTGAGCAAAGCAATGAGCTAAGTGTGGGGAGAAAGCATTAGAAAAGAAGTCAGGATTTATAAGCTGGCCAACAAAGGCAGTACATGAGATTAAGTGAATCAAATAGAGGTGGGGAAATGGTGGATAAAAGGAAGAGCAAATTCATTTTGTACCTTTGCATGTACTGAATGTAGCCAGTGTGTGGGAGAAGGCTATGCTAAGGTTGTTAGACTAAAAGGCAGGGGCCCCACTTGTGATTTTTTAGCCAGAGATGACATGACCAGAGAACAGTTCTTAGGAAGCTTCTAACTACAGGTGATCAAGCCACAGGCCTTGTTCCCAGCTACTCTCTTCTGCTTCAACATCTGCTGCTTTCGCACTTGCCATCTGATGCCGGCCACATGGCCATCTCTCAGTTCCTTGACTGTACCATGTTCCTTCTTGCCTCAAGGACTCATATTTCTCTAGAACATTTTCATCATCTCTCTGGACTCCACACCTCCTTTCAAAACTCTTTCAGGAAGGTTCTACTTGGCTACTTCAGCCCAGTGTTACCTGCCCCACTATACAGCATTAATCTAAGTTCTTATTGAGACTGTGTGACAGCTCTAATTCATTATCCCAGACAACATCTTCATATATCTTAATACCCCAAACACATCATATGGTCCCTAAAGTGAGGGAAGTCAACTTTGTGTTCACACCATTCACCAATGATGTCTGGCATAGGGCTAAGAACATCATAGGCACTCAGTTGTTTGCTATGAATGTCTATAAAGACAAAACACCATCATTTAATGAGCGCCAAATACGGTCAAATTATTATACCTGTAGTATATAGTTAAAGAAAAACCACTGAATTACTTCTTCCGCATGACCCACCTTTAAGAATTTGCAATACTGTACTGTATTTTCATCTTAACAGGTTTTAACATAATACTTACTTTAAGACACTTGAAAAAACACGAGGGTACTTAAAAACAGTAAGGATATCTCAGAATAGCAATTAAAATATTTTACTTAAAATAAAAAAAATAGTTTAATTAACACAAACTTACTAATTGATCCAGATATTCTTTGATTCTTGGCAAATAAGTGAGAGAACTGATAGCAACCAGGCAACTGAGAACAAAGTCAAAAAGCCGATAACAGAAGAATGGAATCAGCCAACCCACTTGATACTGCAGAAGAAAATGAACACAGATTTTTAGCAAATGTATGAAATAACTAAGCAGATTCAGTAAAGTTCAAACTCTAAAAGCTGAAAAGACGGCATACTTACAGAAATTGCTCCATATACCAGCATTGAACTGATGATAAACATAAGAACAGAGACGGCAAAAAGGACACAGGCATTATCTAAGAAAACAAAAACAAATATCAATTAAGCTACTTATACAACAAAACAAAATACTTTATTAAAAAAAAAAAGTTTTACAGTTAGCCAAAAGGGTTAAAATGTAAATATTTTCAAAATTAGCTATGAAAAGATCAAGGGCTAAGCAAGACAGGAAAACAACAAAACACACCTAAGTCTTAGAATTAAAAAATGAATCTTGAGAAACTCATTCAAGCTCTTATTTGTTAATTGCTACAATAATCTCTAATATTTGTTTAGGGTGCACAAGAACTACGTGGTCTGCTAGGAAGACAGGTGCCTATGCCTTTACAAGTTCAAAAATCTGAAGATGTGCAAACAGGAAAATACAATACAACATGGCAAGTGCTGTACCAGAAGCAGGAATGATGAGCTCGGCCTCGATAATCATGAAAACATATGAAAGAAAGTTTGGTCTTGTGACATGAATAGAGTTTAACTGGAAGGAAAACCTGGTATTTGTTGTATTAAACAGAAAACTATAGCGGCTACCTCTTGCCTCAGGTAAAATGTCACCTGAAATTCAGGTTTCCATTAATTCCTCCTTCCAAACATTTAAATTCATTACTCCTGCACTCTGGCTTCTCTGTACATGCAGATCTATTTTCTTCTTGGTGCCTCAATTCTTTCTCCAGAGTGTTCCAACCCTCCCTCTATTAACCCACGTTCACTAATTTTTTTAAAAAGGACTCAAACCACACTTGATTTTTAATTTTTCTGGCACACATCTATAATTAATTTTGTAACTACAGAGAGATATTAAGAAACTGAAGGACATTAGTAATGATAATTAAAATTACTACTAAATTTTCATATCACTGGATACATTATATATATATATATATAATCTCACCACTGAGCAGTACAAACATCCTCAGTATTTGGCACTAAATATCAGATCTCTTATCTTTTCTTGAGGAATACTGAATAGCTGAATACTAAGGATTTAAAGGACTTTTCTGCTGTGGGACACAGAATGTCACTTATAAGAATTCAGTTATAAACAAAATGTGAAGTTCAACAGGATATTGGTATTAACAAACTTCGAAGTTTAGAATTCAAATAATCCATTTTTAAGAATCTGTTATGGGAAACTGCATGCTTATTTTGATTTCTGAAGTTCTGAAACAATGATGTTCAGAATCCTTCACTGGATTAATAACAAGGCATCTAATGCCTGCAATGACAGACACTCCAGTACTTGTGAATTAATAAAACAAACAAAACATAAGGGTTAAACAAAAACTTCAGGATTCTAACCACTGTGACATTCACGGTCTCCCCGTAGCTAACACATTTCCAAAGTGAAAGTGGATGAGGTTAGATGCATATTTGAAAAAGAGCTTGTATATGTTGTGAAAGTGATTTGTATATATTGACTGCCAATCCTGTTTAGCTGAGTAGAAATAATCACAAAAATCATTATTTAAAATTGGTCATCAAGTCAATGATCAGTAATTTATTGGGTTTGTGGAAAAGTCATCCAAAGAAACAAAAACTATCATACAACTAAGAACTATAAATTTTTATTCTCTTAAAAATAGGGGCTTTAGTACAATTATAATCAACAAAATATAATAATGAAAGCCATCTGATTTCCTTTAAAGCAGTTAGAATATTCACACAATATGTGGTAAACCCACGACTTTACAGATATAGCCCAGTAAACATTTCAATAAACATTAAATCCCTTTTCTATCTCATTTTTAGAGAAACATACATGCCAGGGTAAATGATGACATTGGCAGGTTAATTAAAATTTTATGACCTAGAGTAAAATTTTAAAATTATAAAAAATAGCTGAAATTTTTTACTGTTCTTTTGGGTTTTCAAATAAAAACAGACTATTGGGAAAAAATAAATGCCAAAAAGGACTATTTATAATATGTTCTTATTATTTCTCCTACCACAGTTGACAAAACAATTAAAGAATTTAATCTAAGAAGAATCACTTTTTAAAAAACCATTGAAAAATCATTTCTTAAAAAATCACTTTCAAAAGCCAACAACGGTTAGCTGCTTTTGTACTAAGTTATATGACAGTCACAAAATTCTTCTTGGCTCCTGGAAAATGAAGTTAGCCCTGTAACAATACAAACCTTCATTAATGGATCATTGAAGGCCATAAATGTAATGTAACTCAGAACTTCACATTAAGAGGTAATACAACTAAAAATCTGAGAATTAAGATCCTATAATATAATATATACATGTGAATGGGAAATAATTTGTATTATATGTATTTTGTAATAGTACATTTGCTCCACTGGCAAATCTCCCATACCAACTACGTTTGTTGGCTAGAACTCAAAGATTTACGTTTCACTTTTATTTCTCTCTTCCTCCTGTAGAGGTACACAACTACACAACTCACAAAAATGTAGTAGTCCATTAAATCTTCTGACATAAATGCTTACCAAAAATCTTTGAAAAAACTCACCAAAATACTTTCCTGTGTCAGTGAGTAGTTTAAACATCACTGAGCTTATGTTAATCTTATTATGCAACTTATTTAATCTTTTGAAGTATAATTTAATCAATCTTGCTCTAAATAACATATACATACAAATTAAACTGGCTTTATAGATTTTTATAAGGGAATATTTTGTTTTCAACTAAATACCTACCGGCCATTCTCTCAGATGAATAGTAATTTCCAATGACTTCATACTGAATGTTGACAGCTGGCATTGAGTTTGGATGAGTCACCTCTACAGTCAGCAAAATTGCCATCAACAGGTTTACCACCTATGAAAGATAACATTTTATCAAATACATTACTATTGAAAAAGTCTTTAGCAAAATTTCTAGATGTTGTTCCACATTGAAAATTGTTTTAAAGTAACAAAGATAAAAAATGATAGGGGCCAACCTGAGTTAAAGGATATGCAATTACCACTATGAAAATAATTTAAAAATAAATTATTTTATCAAGTACAGATTTAATATTAAAAGATACGATGCTAAACCCTATGTTAATATCAATACACCAGAATAAAATGGCACAAAAACTAAAACTAGGGAATAATTACAAACTTTTCCTGTTGTTCAGAGGCACATATTCATTCCTATATGAATCTCAGAATTTCTATGTCTGAAGAAGCTACAGTTGATTTAGATGCCTGAAATCACTCCACAGCATCCCTAGCCACTGCCAAGAGAGCTCATTTCCTCTGGAGATCAACATTCCTTTGGAGTTGCATAATAAGGCTTTCATTATGCCACTTAACTTTCACCTACTGGTCTTAATTAATTCTATGATTTTTGAGTCAATGTGCTCTCCTAAATACTGTCTTTTCTAGAATAAACATTTAGGTCCTTTAATGATTCCTCTACCTGGCATGTTTTTGGGCTACTCCACTATTTCTCTTTTGCATTCCTCCTTTCATAAGCTCTATTTGAGGCACACACTATCAAAATGAGCTAAGATCAAGCATCATCAGAATACAAATCTCAGCTCCCCATTCTAGCTAACAAATTTCAATTAATGCAACATGAAATTGCACTGGCTTTATAAATTTACTGAATATCAGGTAAGAGTTAACTCCCTAAAATATCTAGCTTTTTTCCACACTTGACCCTGCTAAGTTACCAGCTGTTAGCTGATACGTACAGATGGATTCAGAGGCCCAAGTACAGGTCTTAATGTAATTTGTAACTGAATTTCATTTAATTACATTCTTGTCCATCATGATTTTCTGGATTTGTATTTTGACATTCTAAACATTTACTTTCTCAGCTTTCTGCAGTTGATTATATGATCAGCACTGCCTTTAAGTGCTCAGAATCAGTCCTGTTAATGATTCTATATAAAAATCTTATGAGGATGAGAATTAGCCTTCTCTAAAGTTTATGGGCTTTACCACTGAGCTACATTCCCAGTCCTTTTTAATTTTTTATTTTGAGACAGGGTTTCACGAAGTTGCCCAGGATGACCTTGAACCTGCCATCCTCCTGCCTCCCCTCCTGAGCTGCTGAGATTTCTGATTAGAACCATTATAATTGAGTGAGATGATAATCTCACTGAGGTTTTGATTAGCATTTCCCTGATGATTAGTAAGGAAGAACTTTTTTTCATATTTCTTGGCCATTTCTGTATCTTCTGAGAAATAACTATTCAGATCCTTTTTCCATTTTTAGATTATTTGCTTTTGCTGTTGTCTGAGTTCCTTATGTATTTTGGATATTAAATCTCTTATCAGTTTGCAATTATTTTCTCCATTCTGAATGCTGTCTCTTCACTCTGTTGATATTTCTTTTATTGTAGTTTTTATTTGATGTAATTCCATTTGCTTTTTTTTTTCTTTTGTTGCTTGATTACATTCTTGTCCAAAACATTGTCCAGACTGTCAGTGTTTTCCCGTATTTTCTTCTAGTACTTTTATAGTTTCGGGTTTTACATTTAAGCCTCTAATCCATTTTAAGGGTTTTTTCGTTTGTTGGTTCATGGTGAGAGTTAGGGGTGTAATCTTATTCTTTTATATGTGGACATCCAGTTTTCCTAGTATCATTTATTGAAGGTTGTGTTACCCAGATGTGTTCTTAGCTCATTGGTTAAAAATCACTTGGCTGTTAAGTGTGTGCACTTATTTGGGGGTTTTTATTCTGTTCTATCAGTCTGTTTCTATTTTTATACAGTACCACCATGTTTTGGTTACTACTGCTTTGAAGTATATTTGAAGTTGAGTAGTATCATGCCTCCAGCTTTATTCATTTTTGCTCAAGACTGCTATATGATCTTTTGTAGTTCCATGTAAATTTTAGGATTTTTCCATTTCAGCGAAAGATGACATTATTTTTTTAAATTTTTTTTTTTTTTTAAGTTTTCGGCGGACACAACATCTTTGTATGGTGCTGAGGATCGAACGCGGGCTGCACGCATGCTGGTGCATGCTACCACTTGAGCCACATCCCCAGCACAAGATGACATTATTTTAATAAGGGTTGCATTAAATCTGTAATGGCCTTGGCAGTTTGGACATTTTAACAATACTAATTCTTCCAATCCATAAACACAGGGAGTCTTTCTATTTGTTTTCTCTTCAATTTCTTCCACCAGTATCTTATAGTTTTCACTGTTGAGGTCTTTCACCTTGGCTTTTTGTTTTGTGTAGCTACTGTAAATAGATAGTTCACTACTGGCATATAGGAACGCTACTGATTTTTCTAAATTGATTTATATCATGAAGCTCTACTAATTTAATTCTAAAAAGTTTTCTCAAGGTATTTATGATTTTCTACATATATGACTCTGTCATCTGCAAACAGGGACAATTTGACTTCCTCCTTCCCAATTTGTATGTTCTTTATTCCTTTCTCTTACTTGACTGCTCTAGCTAAGACTCTTCCTATTTCATTGAACTAAAGGATTAAAGCAGGCATCCCATCTGGCTGCAGATCTTACCATCCAGCATGTATTAACTGTTGGTTTATCACATGTGGCCCTCACTATGTTGAGGTATTTTCCTCCTATACCTAATTTGTTGAATTTTTATAATGAAAAGATAATGAATTTTATCAAATGTTTCTGTATCTATTAAAACACTCATTATGGGTTTTGTCCTTGATTCTGTTGATATATCACACTTAACTGATCTATCCGCATGCTGAACCATCCTTGCATCCATAGGATGAATCCACTTGATCACAGTGAATTAATTATCTTTTAATGTGCTGATGAATTTGGTTTGTGTTTTGTTAAGAATTTTTGCAATGTTTATCAAGAACACACCCTGTAGTTTTTTTGTGAGCATCTCTATCTCATTTTGATCAAGGTGATACTGACAATGTAGACTGAGTTTGGCAGAATTCCTTTCAATTTTCTAAAATAATTTGCAAAGAGTTGGTATTAATTCTTCTTCAAGCATTCTACAAAATTCAGCTGTGGAAAAATTATTCATTTCAACCTAGGTTTTCCAATTCGAATACAGTTGTTAAGAGTCTCTTGTGATCCTTTGTATTTTTGTAATATCAATTGTAATGTTTCCCTTTTCATCTCTGAGTCTTTTTCTCCTTAGACTAAGGCTTTGCCAATTTTGTTTACCTTTTCAAAAAAATCAACTCCTTTTTTGGTCTATTTTTGTCTCTATTTCTTCTCTGATCTTTACTATTCTCTTTTTCTACTGGATTTGGGTTTAGTTTGTTCTTGTTTTTCTAGTTCCTTGAGAGGTAATGTTAGCTTTTTTGAGAATGTCCTACTCTCTTGATATAAGCATTTACTGCTATAAATGTACCTCTCAGCACTGCTTTTGCTGCATTCCATAGGTTTTGGTAGTTTCTATTTTCATTTGTTAAGAAATGTTTTCATTTCCTCACCACCCAGGTTGTTCCAGGAGAATGGTGTTTAATTCTCATGACTTCCATTGTTCCTCCTATTATTATCTCTAGTTTTATGGACTGTCAATAGGAAAGGTGTTTTTTTAATTTTGTTTTAATTAGTTACACATGACAGTACAATGATCTTGACATATCATACATTTGAATCAGATGGGGTATAATTTCTCATTTTTCTGAGTGTACAGGTAGCAGAATCACATTGGTCATGCGGTCACTTAGATACACACAGCAATAATAATGTCTATTTTATTCTGCTGTCCTTCCTTTCCCCCCTTCCCCTCCCCTCCCCTCCCAGCACTTCTCTCTACCCAATCACATACTTCTTTTTTTTTCCCCCTCACTTTGTCATACATGTATTCTGTATAACGATGAGGGTCTCCTTCCATCTTCCGTGCAATTCCCCTTCTCCCTCCCTTTCCCTCCCACCTCTCTTCCCTATTTAGTGATAATCTTTTTCTTATGCTCTTCCTCCCTACCCCATTTTGAGTCACATCCCCCCCCCTTAAATCAGAGAAGACATTCAGGGAAAGTTTTTTTGATAGGATTTACTTTTTAAAAATTTGTTAGGACTTGATTTGTGGCCCAACATATGATATATCCTGGAGAATGGGGTACTTTAAAAAAAATCATTATTTTAAACAATATACTGCTTCAGAGCACCATGATAAGGGTTTTACAGGCAGACAGCACCTCTAGGAGAACAGTCTACAAAACTAAGCAAAGAAGTGCTATTTAATAGAGACTAAAACTATCTTTAGAAGAAATTTTTAATGTATACAAAAAAGTATTGTTGTGGGGCTGGAGTTTGGCTCAGTGGTAGAGCACTTGCCTGGCATGTGTGAGGCCCTTGGTTTGATCCTCAGCACCACATATAAATAATTAAAAAAAAAAAAAGATTCATTGGCAACTAAAAAAAAAGTATTGTTGTTAATCCTGTTTTTTTTTTTTGGCAAAGACAGTTTATTTCATGAATGTTTAATGGGTACCTCAAATGTTCTAAATAATAAGTTAGCTAGTATACACATTTTCCCCCTCCTCCCTTCAAAGAAGACTTTGTTTTTTCTTTTTTTGTTGTGCTGGGACTCAGCACCATAGGCATGCTAGGCAAGTGTTCTACCACTGAGCTACATGCTACATCCCTAGTCCTGGAGGACATGTGATGTGAGAAATAAGAAAAAAGATAATCATACTAATGTTTAATAATTATATACAGTAGGTATTTAGAAACTTTGCCAAGTACACAGTGAGGAAACCAGTCCCCTCTAGCTAGGAAGTACAGAAAGTTTTACCATAAAAATATTTGAGCTAACCATTAAAAAATTATCTGGAATTAGCAAATGTTGTTAATAGTTGAGGTGGGTGATGAGTAAACAGAGACTTCTATTTCTCTACCTTTGCATGTCTGAAAATTTCCTAAATAAAGTCTTTAAAAAGCGATTTGGGGAAGAGCAGTTCAGGGGAAGAAAGAGCATGTTCAATGGCACTGAAGCACAAAACAGCAGGTGCAAGGGAAGACACTAGCTTCAAGCTCTACTTATTTAGAGGAGTTGGGTGAGGACTAGAGAGGACACTGCTTGAGGCAATCTGTCTTCACTTCTCTCCCAAGTACCTAAAATTAGATTATTTATAGAGATGCTCAGGAAAAATTAGCTACATATTAAGTCTTTCCAAGACTTAACATTACAAATGGATTTAATATTCCAAGACTTAACATTACAAGTTCTCAAAACATGTTCTTGTAGTATACTATTAACTGTAAAGAAGGAAACTTTCTGCAGCTGATTTTTAAGCCCTTTTAAAATCATTCAATAAAAATTTGAGCCTATACCTCATTAGAAATTTGTTTAAAATAATCTGGTTTCAAGTTATTTAATAAACAACAGAAAAAACAATTTTAGAACTGCAAGAATTTAAACTTGCACTCATTCTGAAATTTCTTCTTAACCAGGCATTAAGCCAGGCATGCTTTTTAAATCTGAAACACTTAACGTTAACACTTCTGGACCAGTACCTCTGGCACACGTAATTGGTCCTGGCTTTCTCTATATCCCACAGAACTATTCAAAAACCGTACAATTAATATCTTAGTAGACAGAGTTATAGTCACCTTAATACTACATTAGTAGAAGCTATAGCTAGAAAGCAATAATACTGGGCCAAACAGAGCCATTGACATAGTATCTAGTCCCGGCAGAAGAGGGCTGCAGTTTCAAGTTCCAAAAGCTTGAAAGGAATCATAACCTCAAAAGCCTTGGCCCAGGTAAACTGAAAAGATTCATAAATATTCTTATAGTGCCTCATCTGGAATGAAAAAAGAGCTACCATGGAGGCTAGGGAGTTAGGGAGGGAGAAAGGGTACCATGACAAAGTAAAGTGACATCCTACCTCTCTAGGCCCCATCTTATTTTTCAGTCTTAGTAAAGCGTGGCAAAAAAATGCAGTTTGGACAAATCCTCTTTGTTTAGAGGTATGGGACTACATCTAAATGTTATTTGTGACCCAACTGGGTAGAAATTATCTTTATATGGCTATGGTACTTAAGTTACACTTTTGAAAGTCACCTGCAGTACTGTAATAAACCACCAATGACCTTTTTCCATTCTTAATCTGATTACAATCTGATATCACTGATCATTATCTCCTTCTCCATTGTAATAACAAAGTGCTTTGAAATAACAAAAACATCTTAAGGGCAGATGTCGTGTTCAAGACAACATTTAGCAAGTAACAGAAATACACAAGATAACACAGGGCTCCTGACTTACTCCTGTGTATCTACCAAAACTTCCACACTGAAAATGGTCAATAAATCTTTTATTACTTCAAGACAGATCAATTGGTTTAAGTGGTTTACAACTGCTACTAACCTGAAAAGGTCCATGCAAAGTGAGAACACCTAGGGCAAGTTTTAAAAATTGTGAAAATAAAGCATGGAACAAGATCTTCAACTGGGGGAACAGATTTAAATTCGCTCCCTATTTTATTAAGAATAAATGCCCTTACTAAAGTTTTACTCTCTGCACCTTGAGTTTCCTATTTACAACTTCTACTTTATCCTGCTCTTCTTTTCATTTTTATAAGCTAAAGTCAACAGTGTAAAAAAATCTGCCTGGAATAGAGTGGAAAGAAATACAGCCAATTACATTAGGATGGCTGAAATAAGGACCACAGTTATTTTCTTCTTGAGGAGTTAGAAGTCCTTTGTTCTTTTGAGTAGAGGCAAGGATCTGAGAAGCAACAGGAAGTTTGCAGGAAGAGTCCCAGGCTGTTGGATGGACTCTTGCTAAGCAGGGGGGCAGGTCATTTTCTGGAGGTAATGGGGGTGGGGTAGAGTAAGAGACCAGATAATCCTAAAGGTTTGAATTATTCATTTAGGGGAATGGAATACAAAGTTTACGGACAAACAAAAGAAATTAAGGATTCAGCCCCTTAGCAAATTGGAGAAGAAACAAAAGGAAGTTAGAAATACAACCTAAACTGTTTGATGTCCAGTATTACAAATCAGTTAAAATATGGAAGAGCCAGTTTCTGAATGAAATGTGATATAATTATACAATACCAATAACCTGCCTTTTTCTGAATACAAAAGTACAAGAAACGTGAAAATAGGCTTAGCACAAGCAAATAAACCTACACATTCAAGTTTTGCTATTTTCTTTTAAAATGTACATTAAAGAAGATTGCAAAAAAATAAATAAATAAACAACAGGACAGTCAGGAACAATGTGGAGGTCAGATAGTCCTTGAGGGCCAAGAAACAATATCTGCCTGCCTGAAAATGATTTTCATCTGGTGTTTGCCCAAACTGTTACTAATGATTTCAAGACGCTGCGTGGGAAAGTAAGTACAGAAAAAGGCAAAAAGGAGTCTGGGATCAGTCTCTCTTTTGCAGTTCACATAATTATCAAAAACTGCACAGTAAAAAAAAAAAACAAAAAACTGCACAGTATCACCAATACCACTTCCTCCACCCACACACAAAATCAGTCATTAGGGAAAGTAGCTGAGTCGACAACATACGATGCTAGTCAAAGCATCTGTAAAGTCGTACTAACTTAAAACTACCTAAACAGAATCACATTTTTAGACGTCACAGGCAAATAGCTTTAATATGAACGGATACTGGAAAGACTGGTCAGAAATCACATAAGAATTACTAGTGAACCACTTAATCAACAGCATTCCCATCTGGTTATGACAGAATCATAAAGATCTTGCAAACCAGAGAATGCCTGCATATTGTGGCCAGAATAGAACAGGCTCTCAACAAAATGTTTCACAAAACCGGGAGCATCTGGTAAGAAAAGCAGGCAGGGGTTGGTTGCACCAGGGAAAAACTGATCAAGTGTAAATCCTGGCAAACTGGTATCGCCGCCAAGAGCTCTCAAACAAATTCACAACAGAAGCCTTTCTGCTTACATCAAGGTCCAGGACACAAATGAAGCTGGGTTATAGCTGGAGCTTTTTGCTTTCCCATCAGACTAGACAATGTTGAACGAGGCTGCACACATCACTACTTTTTTTGGGGGGGTGGGGGGGGATTCCAAGGAGGGGCCGGAGATGTAGCTCATGGAAGAGTGCTTTTCTTGCATATGAGGCACTGGGTTCGAGTCTCAGCGCCATATGTAAATAAATAAAATAAGGGCCCATCCACAAAACTATATATATATATATTTTTTTTTTTAAAATTCCAGGGAGCACAAGGTGCGGAGGGAAGAGGGAACTGCCTTTCAGATGGCGGAAGTACAGAAACAATGACCGAATTCCCACTGAAACTTAGCAGCCCCCTCCCTCCATCCGCCTAGCCTCGTCTCTCCAAAGCCCACGTTCCTCAACTTCTTGCTACGGAACTATCTCTTGGACAAGTCTCTCTCGAGGTCCCCAGACTCGATTAAGAGACAAAGCATTTAAAACAGGAGGAAAAAAAAAAAACAACTCCCCCTCCTCTCCCGCCCCACCCAACACCCCGGTCCCCAGCCCCACCCCTCCCGCACATGCGCACTTCCCCGGGCGGCGAGGCCCTACCCGCCCGCCAGCCCTTACCATGTACCAGGTCCCCAGGATGATCGTCCCGGTGCGGACATGGCAACAGCCGCAGCACCGGGTGCTATAGAACCGGTCGCTGCGGCTCCGCTTGAAAGTCATGGACACCATCGGGTATCTCGCGGGCCGCGTTCTTGGCCAGTCCCTGACAAAAGCTTTCCGCCCCGCGGTTGAACTCGGGGAGCTCAGTCACAGTCTCCAAAGGCAAACGACGCGTCTTCAAGCCCGCCCCTGGTCCGGGTCCTAGCCAGGTCTTTCGCGCCTGCGCACTGAGCACTGAGCGCCGCTCTCGCGCGACCTTCGCTTATCAGCTGTTCTTCCACCTTCCGCTGCCCGTAAGCCAATGAGGAACGGTGTATGGACCGGGTCTCCGATTGGGGAAAACCTGGAGATTGACAGGAACTCACGCCCAATAAGAAGTGCTACTCGCCTTAGCGGCATGCGGTCGGTGAGGGCAAGGGCTCCCTTGTGAGTCTAAGGTAGTTTGGGTTGATGGCAACCTGGTAGTTCACCATCCCTCAGAAAGCACCGGTAAGAAACATCTAATGAGAGGAGGGAGAAATTCGATGGAACGGATGGCAGAAAGTGGGCATAAGAGCCTTTCTGAGCGTTGTTGTCCTTGCCACGTTGTCTTTGTCACCGGACTAGGCCGCTCACGTGACCTGTGCGCGCGGCTCGATTGTTGAGCAGGAAGAGGGCGGTGCCTGTGGGGAACCCTGGAGCGGCCCTGCGCGCTCTCGCTGAAATTAAGGGCTTCCCGGAGGATAAAGGTTTAGAATTCTTCCCGCCCTTCCTCGTTCTGAAACCACCTTGGTGCGAGCAAAGAAATATCATCCCACCCTGTCAAAGAGCAAGATAAAGTGGAAGAGCTGCTTAGCTGCTGGGTTTTTACTATAAAGAGTGATCTTTTTAAAAGAAAAGTGAAACATTGAAGTGGATCAAAAGATTATAGGTTACCTGTGTCTTCAAAGAAAACCCAGCCATAGTCTCACACATCCATCCAAGTATTCTGATTATATGGGGCACGTACCATTCTTTGTGCTGTATACATTAAGACTTGTTTATTACTGGACTTAATATTGAATCTTACCCATCTTTGGAAAAAGCCATTTAGCATCAATTTATACATAAATTTCCCATTCCCCATTAAACAGTATAGGTGAGTACTTTAAATTCTCCTTAGAACCAGTTCTAACACCTTCCTGGAACCGCGCTAAGGAGCAAATAAAACTTTGACGTGTCCGTTTTGCGTTTATATGAGACTCGTGATTTTTACTTTGAAAACAAAAGTAATAATGTACAATGTGTAGCCGCCACTACTAATCACATAAGCATAATCAAATAACACTGAATATTGACTGACAAAACATTGAAATAGGTGTATGTTGGGAGAGTGGGGAAGACAGACAATGCAAGACT